ACACCGTAGACAGTTGTTTGTCGTGTTCAGTCGGACATTTGGGGCCCAGTTACGGGTACACCACGATTTCTTCGAGGAAAGGGATCGATAGCAATCGATGGGTTTATTCCCTCATCGAGTAACCTTGTAGAATAAGATGTGGGTCCATTGAGTTGTAGTTTTGTATTTTTTATTTTTGTTGACCAAAAAATAATTCCTGAAAATAATGATTTTACAATCGTATTCATAATGAAATTTATTACTAATGGTTATTAGGACTATTACGCTTACTGTACATTTAAGCTATAAAATAAACACGAGGGATTAAGAAAAAAAATATCAAATCATATTTTAACATTCAAACTCCATATGGAGGGGAAGGCACATTCATTGTAACAAATACATAACATTTATTTAAATATTATTTAAATTATCAGATCCTTCGAAAATATTCATCTCGACTCCCATTGCCCATCATCTTTCTATTATTATTATTATTATTATTATTATAGATACGCGAAGCCGTTTATGCCTCATCGTTGTTATACATAATAGGTACGTCTCTGTTATTATTAGTTTTATTATTATCACACACGTTTCACAAGAATGTCTCGTTTAAGAAACGAAACACTGTGTTAGAGTTGATGTTTTCAACACTATAATATAATAACTTTAAAACGAAATAAGATTATTTAAATAGAAATCAATGCAGAGTTGGAAATTATATGGGTGGACGAGAGAAAAAAGTCTCGCAAAAAATCCAGCAATAATGTAGGACGTGATCGAAAACTGTCTCCTCTTATAACATTTTTGACGAATAACAACCTAATTGTGACCTAGAAGCAATAGTTTTGACTAATAATAATATAGTCTACACTATTGCACGAAACGCGTACTACGAGGTCTGTTCAAAAAGTACCAGGACAAATGTTATTGCGGCTAATCTATACATGATAATGTTTTAAATTATAAATAGATATATTCCCAACGTATTAGATAATATTTTGAACAAAACCCGAAGTCGCTATCTTATCTCAGTTTAATATTATACGTGGTTAAATCTAGTCAGTTTGTTTCAATCTCCGTTTTCGTCATGTCCGAAATTAACGAACAACGTGTGTGCATCAAGTTTTGCTTGAAACTTGGTAAAAATGCAACTGAAACGTACACATTGATTAAAACTGCTTTTGGGGACGATTCTTTAAGTCGCTCCGTTATTTTCGAGTGGTTTAAACGTTTCAAGGATGGTCGACAGTCAACTGAAGATGATCCACGTTCTGGAAGACCGTCGATATCCAGAAACGATGATGTTGTGGTGAACATTTACGAAAAAGTGCGAAATGACCGCAGATTAACTGTTCGTGAGTTAGCAAATGAGGCAGGAATCTCAATTGGATCTTGTCATGAAATTTTAACAGAAAATTTACAAATGAGAAGGGTAGCTGCTAAATTCGTTCAGCGGTTGTTGACATCGGAACAAAAGGAAAATCATTTAACGATTTGTAAAGACCTTAAAAATCGATCTGCTGATATTAATTTCATTAAAAACATCATCACAGGGGATGAGACATGGGTTTATGGGTACGATCCAGAAACAAAGTTACAGTCATCTCAGTGGAAAACAAAATTTTCCCCTCGACCAAAAAAAGCTGATATCAAGACAATGCTGATTGTTTTTTTTTGATATTGAAGGTATTGTTTATTATGAATTTGTGCCCCATGGACAAACAGTCAATCAGGTATTCTATAAAGATGTATTAATACGTTTGCGAGAGAAAATTCGCAAAAAGCGCCCAGAAAAATGGCGAAGTGGAACCTGGTTTCTTCATCACGACAATGCGCCAGCACATTCAGCGTTGTCAATTCGTGAATTTTTGGCTGAAAAAAAAATACCTGTGGTCCCCCACCCTCCCTATTCTCCTGATCTAGCCCCATGCGATTTTTTTCTTTTCCCGAGATTAAAATCTGCGCTTAAAGGACAACGATTTCAAGATGTAGAGGAAATTAAAGCGAATACGGCAACAGAACTCAAAGCTATAACTTTAGAACAGTTCCAAAGGACTTTCGAAAAATGGCAAGATCGCTGGAACCACTGCATATCGTCTGGAGGAGAGTATTTTGAAGGCGATGTCTTTAAATAATATGTAACTTCATTTTTGTAATTATTAAAAATAAAATCCTGGTACTTTTTGAACAGACCTCGTATTATACTTAAGTGGTTACGATAAAATCAACAAACTGACACGTCTTCGTCTCAGCCAATAGAACGGAATCATTAAAGTAAAAACCACAAGTTTATTTATGTTATACAGCATGTATACAATCATTACGTATTTTATATTCGTTTCGACCTAGTCGGATATATGTTTACACACCAACGTGACCACATACTGCTTAGAAAAATGTGTTTTAAGTATATTATTATTGTTTCTATTTTTTCTTATCTACATAGGTATACACTATCACACTATCACACTATCATTTAGGAGATGTATCAGTTCAAAGTGGTAATTTTCCAACGATATTATCGTCTCAAATGTTTACAAAAAAAAAAAAAAAAAAAATGATATCAAATTTATATCATAATGTAATTGTCCAAATGTTTTCGAAATAATTAACCACGCTATTATTCTGTGAAAAGATGTCTGGAAGCGGAATCGCATGAAACCGAAGAAATAATACAAAAACAGTTGAAAATAAATGTCTAGTTTATCTAAGTAGATAATTTTAATATAATTTGTGACAGAAAAATATAATATGTCATATAATATATTTTCATCAGAATCTGATTACTATATAACCACAAATAATCTTTCGTTTAATTTATTAATACGATAACGAATTCCACCATCGAAATAAGTATTGATACTATCCGCTTTGGACCATTAATTTATCGCATTTTAATTAATTCAAAACTTTGTTCAATACAAAAATATTGACCTCTTTCTCTCTCCTTTCACTTAATTCTTCTACCCTTTGCACTTTCCACATGCTTGAAGCCATATTCAACTTAAATCACATTATTTTCTCCTCTTCACAATTCATGACTCTTTCCACTTTTGGCTACTCTTCACCTGATGTAATCTTTTTTCTCAATTCTCGTTCTTCTTCTGTAATCTCACTCATCATTTAAATTCATCCACAACGGTATATTTCCACATTTCATTTATTTAAATTTATTTAAATTTATTATAAAATATCACACCGATTCTCATGCAATAAAATTAATTTTTAATCGCTGTATTTTCACAAAAATCAAATTATCAAGCTATAATATTTTTTGAATAAAAGTAATAAAAAAAAAACTAATAAAAATTAATCTCCTTCTTTTGCCATTAAAATAAAAAATTTTTCCACAAAACTAATCAAGTCAGTGAAATTAAATAATATTTACTTATAAGTCAAGACTTATTGTTGATTATCTAAATAAAAACTCAATAGTTCGTATAAATGTAGAATTTGACCATATTCTCAAAAAATATACAATTACTTGATGTTTAAAAAAAATCATATATGCTTGGTGATTTAAGTTTTAAATTATTTTTTTAAGATTATTTATATGATAAATTTAAAACCGAAATTAGAATCAAAGTGAAAACACAAAATCACTAATTTTATCAACAAATAAATATAAACGGCTGTTAAACTAAATCTTATATCACTTCCAAATGTTTTCAGCTTTCCCTTCGAAAAAAGTTACTGACAAATTAAATAATGACCACCCTTAAGTGTATCGCCTGTGTCTAATTCTTAATCTAAAAAAAATACTGTATTGCATTTTTGATTCAAACTACCCGAAAAAGTGTAAAAAAAAATTAAATAAATTGTATAATCAGCACAATCGACGTTCCTCTCGAAATCTTAAAACCCTCAGTATGCTAACGTTACAATTGATTTGTTTTACCTATTTAGATTTCATCGAAGTATTATAATAACTGGATTGGATCGATAAACAATGAACTGCTATAATATTATACAGTCTCGATTCTACCACGATAAATTATGCTGAGGGTGGGTATGACTACAAAGAAAAACACAGCACACGAAATAATCGAAACTATGAAGCATTTTAAAACAAAATAAAACCACTGATTCAACTTCATAATCAGTAATATATTATAATTCTATTAACATTTTTATCTTCTAAAACGGTACTGTATTCTACATCCATATTTCATTATTCCCGTAGAATTTCTTTAATTCCCACGCTTCCTTTAGTTTCGAATTATTATGAAAATGAAAATAACAAACCAATAACCGTTATGGCTACAATAAAAAATAAATTAAAAATGAGTTGTAAATGGTTAGAAAATAATTTAAGTACATAAGTATGTGTTTAAAATAATGAGTGTTCAAAACTCTCATTTTTTTTCTATTAAATTAAAAACCAAGTATACTTTTTTAAATATTTTTTTAAACTATCATCGTGCATTTGTTAGTAGACCTATTGGACAATATAACAAAACTTATAAATTATAGTATTATAACATGCGTGTTTGATGTTTTAGAAAATATGTTCATGTGTTATCACCATTGAGCTAAAATATCAAAGGTTAAAACTATTCATGCTACTTTGTTACGAAATTCCGGGTCATTAATCATTAATGTTTCACTTTTATTAAAAAAAAATTAATTAAATATTGAAATTAATTTTTTCATCTTATCCAATTATATACTCGTATATAAAAAATTACGTAACTTAATGAGTGTTCATCCTGAAATTGTAGAAAAAAATTATAAATATATGTTTAAATAGATTTCGGTAGACAAAATAATCATGGATAATCGAATTGATGGACGAAATCAAAAAGAAATTATGTAACTACACTGAGTTATTAAGCCATTAAAATATTTTTTTCTTTAATTGGATTAAATAAAAAAAATCTAAATTACAAAAAGACGCACTATTGTCACCATCACCTAAATTGCGCCACTTTTAACTGTTTAAGGTAATAAAAACGCGTATACTTGCGTTATTTCGTTTCTTATTTTTATTTAATCATAAATATTATGTCAATGTTTAACGTCTTAACATCAAAAACGTTCTAGTAATTAGTTTGTCTCTTTGTTTTTTAATGTGTTTCTTGGAAATATTAATTTCAATATTTAGATATATTTAAGTGAAAAAATATATTTTGCACTTCTTCGAACTTTTACTACGTGCTTTATCTAAACCTCGAGACATTATAATACACATCATCCGGCGACATAAGAAAGATACACTTGCTAAATTAGTCATTGTACTTGTTTCCGAATCACCATGGAGTTCTCATCATTTATGAACGAGTCGCAAACGGTTCTTGTACAACAATCATGGCCGAAACTAGTCTCAAAGAGTTTTTGGAGTTCGTTTTATCTAAAGTAATATATTTAAATGGTTACGGTATATTTTCTTCATATATATATTTAATACACGTGTGTATACTATAAGCGTTACTTTTTTTTTCTAGTCTGTTTGAGAGGAGTCCGTCGTACCAATTGTTCTTCAATCGTTTCGCTCGTGTCCCACGCGAAGAGCTCCAATTCAACGTTCACTTCTTGGCACACGCGTCTAGGACCGGATTCGCATTTAATGCTGCTATTGATCTTTTGGGTAACTCACTAGAATTTCGTCGAATCCTTGAAGACCTAGGAGCAAAACATCGACAATTTCACCTCACAGCCGAACATTTTCAAGTATTTAAATCTAAATTTTTGACATTATAAGTAGACTAAGTTGACTAAGTTGAAACCGATAGGACGAAATGAGAAGGGCGCTGCGTGAATTTGCCCCCCCCCCCCGTTTTGATTTTGATTTTCTGAGTTTCAAGGGGATTTAAAAATTCCAAAATTGCATTTACAATTCTTTAAAATTATTTGTTTTTTGTTTGAAACTGATAGGACAAGATGGAGGGAAGGCTAACTTCACGTACGTTGTAAGTAGTATATTTTTAATCCGTGACATATGAAATTTTACCCGTAAGAATAGCATTACACCCGTGTAAACGATTTGTTATAAATCAATCGATTAATTTCGATTATATTAATTTATACGTAATAGAAGTAGGTAGTATACAATAATAATAATACAAAAATATTTAAGAAAATTCAAAAAATGTCATTACCTAGATGGCCGTTTGAAAATCAAAGTAACACGATATTGACTCAAACGGGATAGTTTATGTAAATCGTTATAATAGTAGTTGATAACAAAGGAACAAACGATTATGGTATATGAGGAATTCAATTCCTAAAAAATAATCCAAATATGAATTATAAAAATGCGGGAAACGTGTTAACGCTGAAATAATTAGCATAATTTGATGTTTCATTGGTTTGGCGATTAAAATGATAATTTATACCGTTTAATAATTCTGTAATCATATGATGAATAGTTATTTCATTAGACACAGGTGTTATCGCACTATAATACCACAGATAGAGCTTACCTAATAATGCGTTAAACGCGACAGATATACCTTATACACATGAAGATTGGTTCAAATAACAATAAAAACTGTTGTAAACTACTATTACAAGCGTTATAAACGTCGAATATCTCGACAAGTACATGGTGTATAAAAGAAACATGTGTTAAGTCGTAAATGATACTATTACTATATAAAACTTTATACATAAATATATTATAAGTATAGCGTATTAAAATGCAATGTTTAACAGTCAGGTGTCAAACCGTCCAACGGAAATCCAATCGAACAATATAATATATACTCATCGCTAAGTAAATCAAACTGAGTTTCATAGTCGACAGACCTCGGTAATATACACGCTCGACGTTGCTCAACACTGCGATTAAATATTGAATATTATTGAATTTTCGTATATTTCGTAATACCCTTTAAGGCTCACGAGACGAATATCGATAAATATTATACATTCAAAATAAACTTCATTCGGCTCAATACGATCATGGTGTAACATTTTGTCGACTGATAAAAAACAAAAGGAGTATGCGACATTTTGAGTTTAAGAGAAATGGTATACATTATGGGACAGCCGACCGTTGTGCCATAAACATTCGATCGCACAAGCGCTAGTGTTCTTCTAACAATTTAGCAATGATATATTTAATTTTTTTAACTTCTTGGCACAAGTGACATTTAGGATGAACAATTTTATTAAAATAGGGAATAATGGCTTTTGTTTTAATGGAAATAGGCGATACTAATGACAATTGTGTTCATCAAGAAATAAACACATGTCTCTTGGTATCTACTTTTATTGCTGATCAGTGATCACTTTTTATTATGTTGGTAATATGATATAAATTTATTGTAATAAAAATCTGTTTTATTTCTTTTATTCGTTTTACGTGGTAACTAAAAAATCTCACTAAAATATATTAACCATTTGATATGGTTATAATTAATCAGTAGGTTATTACAGATTTATTAATTTATGCACTATGACACTTGGACCATTGAAATCAATAATTTATAATGACAATTATTAGTATATGATTTTGTTTATTTGATAAGCTTATTATTACAATATAATTATAGTTATTATTCATATTAACTTGATATATTATTATTAAATTTGAAATAATTATTATTAGTATTACTCATGATAATATTAAATGAAGTTTTGATTTATTATAAAATATTGTTTTTGTAAGTTACTTAAATACTGATTATAATTAATTTTACAAGCAAAGATTTTAAATTAATTAAATTTAAATTCAGACTGTCATTAATACAACTGAAGGATTGTCTTTAATATATTAAGAATGTTTTTAAAAATAATAATTTATCACAGCGAAGGAAGTAGACATTTTATTTTTCACTAATTTCGTACAAATCACATACATTTCAAATTGTTATTTGTTGCATATAATTTTACCGAACCAAAAATAAAATTGAAACCAATCGCCAAAAGTGGTGAGTTTTATTTATAATCATTGATTAAAAATGAACGTGTTATAAACATTAAAAAATATGACAAACGATAAAGTAGGGACCAAGCGTCACATATTTTTGTTACTTGGCGAACACAATTCTCATCAAAGTTACTTGATTATATCCTAAAATAGGCGCTCAGCCTCTACTTTTGTAGTGTTTGTGTTCGTAAATTTCATTTGCACCGAAATGTATAAGCCAAATAGGTATCCGACTAATAAACGATCAGAGGAACACTAGCACTTGTGCGATATTAATGCCTTAACAGTCGGTCGTCCTGTAGTGTACACAATGTCGCTTAAGCCGTAAATGCTGCGTTTAACTCCTTTTGGCTTTTACCAGTTACAGTTTATTGTTATCGTTTGATGAATACGTTAAAATGTTTACAGATCGTCAAAGACGTACTAATGGATTGCATCGAGAACCGTTTGAAGAACGAATCGAACAACACAGAACGAACGTTGACAGAGTCGTGGAAACTGTGCATCAGCTTGGTGATCGGAGTCATTAAAGATTCCGCGATTGGGGACATACATTCGGACGCATCGATGACGCGCAAACCTAACTGACGTAGAAATATGAATACAAATATGCCACTTATATTACATACACCGTATAATAATTATTATAGGGCTATGTAACGGTTGTGATTTTTTTTTTTTTTTTATAGATTTCTGCAATCGATACCCAAGTGTTAACGAGAAGGAAACTAAACATCTAACTAATCCAAGAGTCGTGTACCCTAATCTTAAGTAATTTGCGTGCTACATTATATTGATTATTATACTTATTATCATACAAGAATATATAAATATGAGTTAATGCATTTTCTCAAAATCACAAGCATATCACCAGACCAATTACACGTCTATACTATACAAAGCTAATGATAAGTATTTGTAAACAAAGCATAAATTATTAATATTAACATTCTATGTATATTCTGTCTTATGGATCTCGGAGTATTGACTGAAATTCTTCCAAAACGTTTAATCTTCTGTCAAATAAATAAAAGGAAAAGATCCATTGGAATTTCATAAACAAGAAATTTTGACCATGCTTAATATATATGAATTAATATTATATAGAATTAAAAAGTTTACATTGTTCGACATCGAACAAAAAATTTACAATACATACTACAGTAGACCAAAATAGACCCTTAATCAATATAAATATGAAGTTTCCAAAAATATTTTTTTTATTGTATATTCTCAATAAGTTCGGAATTTTTAGTAAAAATTATTAATTTAAAAAATGTATACGAATGAAAATGTCCTTATATACAATATACTCGTAGTTGAATGCGAATAATGATTAAAATTTAAAAAACAAATATACGCACACACCAACTGTAAAGTATTTATGATTTTTTTTATTGTTAATATTTTTTTTTACACTACAAAACATTTCAATATATAATGAGTAAACAACTAAAATGACTGGTATCATCATCATCAACATAAAATCGGTAGGTCAACAAGCATTTACAATTTTCAAAAGGAATGTGGTCGCAATAGATACCACCGAGAAATGCATATCGTACAGGTGCGTTTTCCTACAGGTTTAAATTATAAAATAATGTGCACAGATTTTTCATCCTTTAACATGAAACCGTGTGCGTGGGTTTGGATTTTTTGATTTTCAAACCGAAATCAATCTACAATATGTTACACTCGTGACGACGCGATACTTCGTGAGGTTACATAAGTACATAAGTGTACATCATAGCTTTTTCTTTGTTCTTTTTTTTTTTTTATATAATAACGCACGGGAAATTTACGTGTCCGGTGGTCCCGATTCCGGTTGGCCGTTGAGCGGAAGACACAACCGCGGGCACGCACGCCGAACAGCAGCGGTGACCAACGTCCGGACAATGGATTACGACTAATAATAATTAACGGACCAACAATTATATCGTCCGGTCCATAATGCACGCGAATCCACCTGATACTATGTCACAGGGCCACATCGCCGTTGCACGGTCGCGCCGTTGTTCTAGTAGCGACTGCCAGCGGTGGAGAATATGGCGCGCGACACAGAAGACACACGTAACTCGTATGCGCGTAATAATATTGTTATTTTCTTTATTATCATAATTATTGTCGTGATGTTGCGGTGTGTGTCAGACACGTAATTCAGGGTGGCAACAGCGATCTCCGCCCCACCCGAACACCATATTGTTGTAACTATGGATTAATATATTCGTTAAATAGCACTTTATTGCACATTGTTTAAAGCACCTGTTTACGTGCCTGGAGCGCGAGCGCGCGCGTGTGTGAACCTGCCATGTAGGGGCGTATTTAGACTTACTTCTAGGGGGGGATGGCAACTCAAATTCAGGCTCAACATTTACAAGTAAAATTTTTGGTAATATTTAAATCGGATAAATCCTTAATATATGTGGTTTTTTTTTTTTAATCTAATGCCGGATCCACTTAGAATCGACTTTTGTGTAGTTATTTTTAAACACCTGACTGTGTTTTGAAAGTTACGCTTGTGTTTTATTTGATTTTTTACTAAGTATGAACCCGACAAAAATACCAATTCAGTATTCACAGCCACACGTACATTTGATTTCGTTATAAAATTATTCACATAAAAAAAATTTTAAATGTGTATCTCACATATAATAAATTCTTTAAATACGGATTCAGGGGGAGAGTCGATCGCCCCTTCGTCCACCTCTAAATCGCCGCCATGGTACAATATACATACGTTTCGTCGCTGGAGTAGCAATGTATTGCCATAACAATTGTATTGCAATACATTGCCACCAAGGAACCTATGATACCACCGGCATGTCGCTATAATTGCTTTCCTTAACATAACACAGCACAATCGTGTTCGAGGACATTTTATAGTAATATCCCGTTTGTTATCTCCCACGCATAAACGCGTGTGCATATGCGAAAAGTTATGCGCCTCCTAGGAATTTTATAATTTTCGATTTCCATTAGAACTCCAACTATCTAAATACCGATCTACCGATCGTCCGATTATCCGATGAAGAAGAAAAAAATGTCTATTTCTTTTAATAACTTGTTAATGGTAATCGTATTTCTTTAATGTGTAACACAAGTCCACGTATTAGGGAATTGCTATGAAGATAATACAAATGAGAGGTCACGTATGGACACAGTTTATCTAAGATACTACATACTTTCAGATGATAAAACAGTTCATAGCTTAATCGAAAAAGGTGATAATGAAGGAGAGGAGAATAAATTTACGATGGTTTGAAGGTAATATGGGCTGTGCCATGCTGAAGCTTATTATCAGGATATTTGTTTATCCGGACTACCCTTGACAATAATAAGTCCGGATAGTGGGAATTTTACAGTATTTACAAATATTTTGATGATATTATTGGTTGAAGTTGAAACCCATCACACTGTAATTGTTTAATATACGGAATACGAATAAACTATGTGAACTCGATTTGTGTTGCATGCGAAACAGTGATATTTTTCGAAAGCTATAAACAAGTATGCGGGTAACAAATGAAATAATTTTAAACAGTAATTATAATAAATTTACATCTAGTACTAAATTCTATTCGTCATCGACGTATCAATGTCTATGAAGTAACGATCACAAGCCAAATGATAATTGTTACAGAGAGAATAACATTTACCTTACTGGGATGACGAGGATCTCCCAACCAAAATAATTATTCTGGACACCCCGTGCACATTTCCTGCGTGATTTTAAACATATTTTATTGTTCCGTCTTATTATCGAGTGTACGTAATGAAAATGGAAAAAAAAATTGTCACACAGAACGGAATAGACGTGTACGCACACACAATTTGTACACATATATACGCAACAAGGTCACCGCCACCGCCATGCCAGTGGCAAGCATAAATAATAATATAACTGTACCGGAACCCGGTCACGCGACAATAATATATTATATTGGACATCTATGTATGTATTATCGCATATACGAAATTATTGTTATTATTTACGAGCTATTCTTTGTATTTGATACGTCCGCGGTCGACCTCACAAAAATATTGGATTCACAACGAAATATAATAATATTATACTTTATATACATTGTAATACAGACACTAATATGGAACATCGGCCGAGAAGAATATTTTATACACGATCTTATATTTAACGAAATTCTCTATTTCTCTATCTCGAATTCATTTTTATTTTTTTTTTTTCTAATGACTACGCCTTATCGCAGCAAAAATCGACTTTCATTCTTTTTGTTTAATGTCGGAGTCTTAACATGGGAATCCAACCGTTGCAAGTGGCAACAAACTGGTTGACAAACCTGGACATTAGAATTTAAGACAACGCAAATACTATGTCGACTTATTCAATCAATCATTATATACAAATTATATTGAACCTACTTAATTAATTTTTACTATTTATGTTTCTACATTTTATCAATTTATATAATTTATATTTATATCATCTAAATGTTTTATTATAGTATTTTGTTGGTGTTTTTAGTGTCTGCTAATATTTTTATGTGATAGTGTTAGATTCAAACCACAAGATATATATTATATATCCAACCGTTTTAATAATATTTCTTACAAATGTCTTCCTCTTCCATTCGTCCACTGGCTCTTTCTTCCATTATGTTAGTTATTAAAGGATTATATTATTTTATTAAGTGTCCCATAAGTTTTTCACTTTTTGTTCTAAGAATAGATATCAGTATTCTTTTTTTCCTGCTACATATTATTTGGAGAATTTTAGCATTGCGTTTTATAATATAATATTTGTACTTTTGTATTTAAAATTTGCTATTTTTTTATTAGCGGTTAATTATTCCGCTTTTTTAGCCTAGAACCGTCGAGGGTTCGTTAACATATAATTTACCTATACTCACATACTCGTAGTATTAATAATATTAATTATTGATGTAAAATACTATCAATACATTATTACTCGCATACATTTCGTACGGTAGAAAACGTGTTTGTAAGTGAAAAATAAAAAATGGTATTTCTCTTCAACAAATTTCTTTCTATAAACCATCGATTTCGTTATTTAGAGGTTTTCGCGCATACTCGATCACGCGTTCATTCACAGTTACCGTTGCGGTAATAGATACGCATACATCGTAACCCAATATTGTGCACAGTTACGATAGCAGATAATGATGAGTTCACTCACATACACTATAATCGTATCGTATGCGTACAGAACGTTATTTGAAATGAAATTCACGTACAGCCGTCAGTGTCCGATGAACTCAATGAACGGCGACGTCTAATGAAATCGCTCGTCGCATCGTACTGGTATAATATAATGTTTAAGTTACGTTTAACAATACGATATTCTCAACGAGCCGCTCGCGCGTTGGGAGAATCACAATAAGGAACACTGCATATTATGTAGGGCTATAGCTGTGTTTGTTCGGTTATAGGTACCCGCACAAAGTGTATCGTATAATTTTATGAAAATGGGCGAGAACGTTCGGTGGACGGCAAACGATTTTAGAGTATGTGAGCGAAGCGAACATTATAGTTGCATTGGATGATGTGTTATTTATTATTATTGTCCGTCTAAACGATTGCCCGTCTAACCCAGGCAATGTGTACACGCCCCCCCCCCCGGTTCGAGAACCAGTGCTTTAAGTTATGATGACCGGTATGCAGAACATATTTTAAGTAATTTTCACTAGGCGGCACTTCAATAAAATTTTCTACCATCGTAGTTCATAGACGTATTCTTCTGCATAGGAACCTACTGGGAAAATCAATTCACTGCGGTCGTTATGAGAATATGTTGGTTGGTGGTACGATCATCCACCACTGGGTAGCATTCAATTATCATTGGGAGGCACTAGTGTCACGTACTTTGTATGTTAAAATACAAACCGTCGCGGTTATTGCATTCGGCCGCATTCGTTCATAACAGAACACCGCGACCTATTCCTTATAAGTGATTTTTTGTTATCTGGCTATAAAACTCCGTAATTGTATAATAATACGTTTGTTCGTATCAAAAAAAAAAAAAAAAAAACTCGATTCTATGACTACGTATACATAAACTAGTCACTGTATATGTTTCGTCAGTAATAAATACGTATTATTTTCTAATATCATACGACGAACACGAACGGTATTTTTCTTTCGAACGAGCGATTTACTTACGACGACGAATCAATACTGATTTTTTGTCTGCGATTCCTTGTTACGATAGAAGTTCTCGCGACAAAATGATCGTATCCGTACAAGTGGTTTTGATCACGAGCACCTGGTGGTCTTTGGCGAGTGCCGGCATTGTGAATCTGACACCATGTCTGCCGTCGGACTACAAGAAGATGTCGCTTGGTAAAGCGGTTGGTGGTATCAGGAACCTCAAGGTTACTGGTAACCAGCGATCAAGAAGGTCTTGTCACTATTTGGGAAACGTCTACAATAGCTGGACGCGGGTGCCGCCAACTTCGCCGAGCGGCTGTTCGCGGTCAACCGCTTGCGCCGAGACACCCGCAACGATAATGACGAGTCTTGCACACAAGAACACGGTGCGCCTGTTGGTTAAGAATACAAGGCGTCCGACGTCCAAGAAGAGCGTGGCACATCCGGCGTTCAGGAAAACGATGTTTTCGGCGTCCAGGATAACAGCGTCTTCAGCGTCCAGGAGCACGGCACGTCCGGCGTCAATGAAGCCGAAGAAATTTCCGTATTTCAGGAACACGGTGCGTCCGTTGTCCGGAGCCGTGAAAAACGGCGAAAACACCGTAACCTCACATCAGCTGTACTCGGCTATGGTGTCCGTGATCGCGATGTCGCAACCACAGCAAACTAGGTCAAATGCCGCGATCGTGGCCGAGTTGAAGCCGCGTGCAAATAATTGTGTAGTCGCGGAATACATCAAGTGCTTGCCCGTCCCGAAACCGAAAAACAGTTACCAGGATCCGATAATGGTGCAGGAGACCAACAAGGTGGACTATCCGAACGGCTATTCGTTGGCACGCGGCGCCCATGACGCAACAGCCACGTCCGACGAATACAAGTACTACGACGACAATGAAAAGCCGGCCCAGATGTGGAAGGTTGAGGTGGCAAAGGGTGAACACATGACAGAGTCCGAGGCTAAGGCCATGGGAGTACCGGACGACAAAGGCAATGAATACGAAGAGTAGTACAATTTTTCACAATAAATTATTGCGGATCACACATTAACTAAGAAACAGAAATGTAAGTAATTTTACGTAATTTTTTTTTTTTTTGCAATTTAAGAAAAAAATATGTTTATATATACCGAAAATTCTGTAAATTTGGTAAATTTTGATAACTTTTTATGTCATTTTAGGGACATCCCTAGGAACTCCTCGCTTCCTCTTTGTCATGAACTATTGTAACGCATATTTTTATTATTTACTGGATATTAAGAGGCCGTCACACCCGCAAGTGTTGTCTCCGTTTGACATACGTACAACATAGCAAATTTGCGTTCAGTGATTCAAATGTAATGAAGTTAACTTTAATATTAGAGTAAACTGACCTATAATCAAATTTTAAGGTAAGAATTTTATCGGTGTTTTGGTCAATTTTTTCCAATATTTTAATTTTTTAGCAAGTTATGTTTTGGTAACGGTCCAATATGCGACCTACGTTATAAATGTAATTAAATGTAAATAATTTTATCTAACCTTTTTTTCATTCCACTTCTCAGTATAGTCAATAACTATGTATTGTTTCAGTCCGTAATGTTATGAAACGTATTTTTCATATTGATCAAATATTCATCAAAAATAGGTTTTGGATTTTGACATGATCTCCACCACTCTTCTTGGAGTTGTCTAGATATTAAAGGAGACGCTCCATTTTTTTTAATATTATATTTGGATTTCACAATTCTCCATAAGCCTTAAATTTCTTGAGTGTGTACTCCTGTTTCCGGGTCAATAAAAAATTCTGAATGGTTAACTGTTTCATGAATATATCCATGATGATATAATGTTGAGTACGCTCTCCATTGGTCACTATGAATTGTCGTTTCAGTTTTTATTTCATTTTTAATAATTTGTTAAAGAGTTCTCGGTTCCGTTTTTCTACTATAAAAAATCGCCGTTCTAATAATAAGTCTGGCCATTTCCAACAAATTCCAAATACTCATGGGCCTACTATACGATTCCCGTTAATTTGTACGTACTATTTTAGTCTTCGTTGTTGGAATTATTTATTTCTCTTAATAGCTGATGGTCTCCACACTGTAATCGACCACGGTTATACTTCCTTTTACCTTGAAAAAGGGATTTGTCAATTTGGATAGTACAACCAGGACCATTCATTTTCTTTCTTTTTGAAAAACAATATACTGGTATATCTCTACATAAATTATACCAATCAATGATGGTGTTTTTGCTTCTTCCAGTCCAATTTACAGCTTGATTTATTGGAACTGAATCAACCCAGAACCAGAATTAACTATTTCCATTATTTCGCATAATGATAGCTGACTATTACAACGGCCGTGTAGATAAAAAAAGTCACTATCTTTACGAATCGATTGGTAAATCTGGCAACCCCGTTTTGCACATCAAAATGTTACTACTTTTTTCATAGTTCCATCAGAATTTCGTTTTTTACTACTTCTTAAATATTCTATAAGTTGACCACTATACAACACCATATTTCACCATTATACATGTCATCGGATTATCGGCCAGTAATAACCCTCAGTCTTTTAAATATTGAACACATACCACTTCATCTCTAATAATTTGCCTATATAGGTGACCAATAGTAGATGTCATGTTTAATTAGAAAAATTCACATAAAAATTCACACGCACAAAATAAAAGTCAAATAAAAAATCACAAAACGAGTGCACGCCACATACGAATAAAATTGGAACTGTACTGACTGAGAACAGTAAAGGCATTATTAATAATTGTAAATACCAATCGGAAAAAAATATCGAACAAAAATAAATTTTTTTAATTGTTATAATTTACATATTCATAACACACTTAAAAATTAAAACATCGGAAAAATACCGACCAACAAAACATAGATAATTTTATTCTCTTAAAGTTTGATTAAAAATCAATTTACTCTAATATTAAAGCTAACTTCACTACATTCGAATCACTGAACGCAAATTTGCAATGTTGTACGTATGTCAGACGAAGACATCACATGCGGGTGTAATTGTATTATTAATTTAATATGATTTTTTATAACTTTTATATAACATAGATTTGTGGGAATACGGCACTGCTGACTCATGTTATCAACTGCTACTCCCATTTTATATATGTTACTTGTTATTTATAATTTATGTAACTCTGACTCTTACGGCGATCGCACGATCGATTTTGGCTCGCTCTCGTTACTGATCCGCCGAACGAGTCAGCTCATTAATATTTATACTAATATAATAATATTAATAATAATTAATAATTATAATTCAAACATATTGAAGATGAATAAAGATATGTTTAAAATACAATATATGTGTATGTTGTTAATTTACTATTTGTACAATTATACCTATATATGCGAATATGCGAACCCAAACATTCTCCGATTTTCCAGATAAAATTATAGTTATATATCTACATTTTATTTTGTTTTCAAACATTGTATTCGTTTGTACCCAACGTGTTTGATTTTGCGTTTATTTGTCCAAATATCCGATAAATGTTCGATAAAATATTTATTATTATTGCGTTATTCCCACGATTTAATGAAATATAATTTTATATTATACTTTGACCATGCTTATTCCCAATAAAATTGAACGTGATACGTGATATTAGTGGAAGATTCAAAATGTTATTGGAGGGAGGCATGATCCAAAATGCAGTGAACATTTTTGAGAGTTATTCCTTTATTCGCAGTAATAATACTAGTGCAATTTAAACTTAGGTTATACATTTTTTATTTTTTAAAAACTTATTTAGGGAAAATATTTTTTTTACATGGACTAAGTTTTTTTCAACAAATAGTGAGGTTATTTAAATAAAATATAAATATTTTCGTATCATATAACATTATATAGCTATTATTATTTTCGTGACACACAACCACAATTAGATGAAAACGAATAAATTGGAAATAAATCATAAGTAAATGAGTAAAATAAATATATGCAATTAGGGTCTATCTAAGAACTTAAAACACAAATCTTCCAAAATACGAAAGTATTTACATAAATTACAAATTTTTATAAGTATATTTCATAAATTCTTTGATATAGCTCTTTTAAAAATGATGTTTTATGACTTTATTATATCATACATACACATTTTTCAGTGAGGGGGCTATAGTCCCCTTACCCTCGCACCCTTGGCGCCGTGCCTGGCCCCCTTTAAATCTACCATTTCGGTAAATAATTCAATTTTATCATTGATTATAATTTATTAACTTATAGTCCACTTAGATGACGTGCTTTGCATTTGATATGTGTTTAATACATACATATTTAAATTTGTATACGAGTTATATAAGGCATATAGGTAAGTAATATTTGCATAATTACAAATCTTTATTTTGTACGCTTTTTATATATTTTATATGTTTATTTTAATAATCGAGTTATAAAATATAAATTAAAATAATAGGTATTTTTTTATTATTATAACGAATTTAAAAGAAATGTATACGGGAAACCCTTGTGTATGCTGTATTATTTTTATAAATACAAACGTAAATAATAAAATACAATACTGTTCTACTTAAAAAAAAAAAACAACTCTGTACAACACAAGCCATGCGCCTAATGCAATTGACATAAATCATATTCAACTGCATACAAATTACATAAAAAGAGAAAACTGGAAAATATATTGTAATCTTTAAACAGAAAATATATTCATTTAACCCGGAAATAGTGACCTATGGATTGTTTTTTACAAGATTTGCAGATAAAAAAAATCATTTTCTCATATTATATTAGGTATAAAATAATTTTTACAGTCGACGGCTCGTTCATTTCTCTCAATTATCATACATCATGCATACATCTTATATACAACGAATATATGTGTAACTATTTATCATTAAATTTGATTTTATATTTATTAGTTCAAAGAGATATTAAATTTTAGTGTTGTATAAATTAAAATATCATAAAATATAGTATAATTATCTATTCGTATATGTATACAAAGCGCTTCATTTTATTTTTAATTTGATATACATTTGTAATTAACAAATTATTATAATTATTATAAACGCAACGATGTCGAATTATCACTTCTATTGAAAAATCTGTGCAAACAAGTTTGCAATTCTAAACTCTAGAGCAGAGGTTTTCTACCTAGTGGTTGTTCTATCGATCCACGAAAAGGTCGCCAATGATAATTGAGGAGTCAACAAAGTAATTTTTTTTAAAAAATTCATACTTATAAATAATACATATATATATATATATATATATATATATATATATGTTACAGTTAATTTGTGAAGTTATCGATTTTGTAAAATCGACCGAAAAATTGCTAATTTCATTAAATCAGCAACTTCAAAAATTTAATGTAACAAATACAAGTCTACACATAAATATATTTTAGTGTAAAATCTTATACTTATATAATAACTTTTAAAGAGGTTTCCATACAATAAAAAATAATAAAAAGGAGTCACAATTTAAAATCACTGCTTTAAACATATCAAAATTTAGTTTAAATAAAAACTTATTTTAAACGTTTTATAAACATGTATAATAATACAGAAGTACAGTGACAAACCGTTTTAAAGGACAGTAAAAATATTAATTAAAACAATTATTTTATAATTGTACTTGATTAGAATGAAGTGTTTAACGCTACAGCAATACAAAAAAAAAAAAAAAAAAAAAAATATCCAGAGCAAACTATATATGTGAGTACAATAAGAAAGTTGAGTGTTCCGTTGGCTGATCATATTGTGCAATGTTCTAATTACACTTAATAACCTTGAGATGTATATACATACATATATATATATATATATGTGAGTGTGTAAGTGTAACATTATAGTTTTGTCATACAGGTTTGATAAAATGATATTCACATTTTTAAACATTATATTAAGAAGATAAAAATGATTTATTTTGTCTTACATACGCATTTGGCGCGTAATAACTTAAGCAATATAATATATGTAGTCTTCCTTCGCATAAGAAAAAAACCAAACCGAAGCTAAATGCGAATTGTGTTGTTTGTTATATGCTATAATTTCATTATTATACATCTCCTGCTATAGGTTACTTGTATATAATATATTTGTAGTGAATAAAACTTAATGAATAGGGATTCGTTAAGAAACACAATAAAATCATAAACCCAGAGTTATTCGTTAATTTTTCACAATTGAATATGTGTGGCAATAATAGCAAACCTAATTACCCACTAAACTTGTTTATCTTGAAGCAGCGAGTGAATATTATTGGGATTTTCGAATTGACTAAATGGTTACAGCAAGATGGACTCCGTTTACTGCTAAAAACGAGTTTTCGAATAATTTGTTATTT